GAAAATGTTAGGACGTTCTTTGAAAGAAGATAATTGTTCTTTATTATGAAAACGTCATCCCCACGTTGCCCTTACTTACTGCATTTGAATGGAGAGACATGTAGTCCATATTCTCATGCAGAATATAGATAGAAGAATTCAGGGACTTTCTCACTTAAGGAGCAGAACACAGATATGTCTCCACAATTTTTTCTCCATACAGCATAATTTTTTTTCAATAAAAATCACAAATGCCCCAAACAGAAGCCTTCACATCTCAGAATGCTCTGCATGAATGAGTGCCTGGCATGTAACATTAGATTTACCTGTCTCCACAGATCGGCTGCTAATAGGATGATGGGGGGACGGGGCCAGGAGGGGCGGGGGAGGGGAGGGGAGGGACCAGGGAGGGGCGGGGCCAGGGAGGGGTGGGGAGATGTCCAGGCAGCTTCTGCATGGGACCTTGCACCTGTGCACCTACTCAGAATATTTGACATTTAGCCTCATCCAGAATATTTCCCATTACTCGAATGTTGGTGCTGTTAATCATTAGTGCATTGCTCTTTGCCTGGGGCTGAGGACCGCATGCCCAAGGGACAATTCATTTCCCTTTCTGAATTCTATAGAATGCTCGTTTTGAATTCAGGTAATCCTGGGGAAAGTAGGTTTTTTTTTTCCTTTAGCAGAGGGGTCTAACCCTGCTCCACCTTTTCCTCCTCTGCCCAGGTCACCCAGGTGACCAGACTTTCCGTGTGGTGACTGTGTTCTAGCCACATCCCTGACTATGGCTGTCACCTTGTACCTTTCCGGTTCTAGCTGCCTTGCTGACTGTCTGTCCTTTTTCTGTCTTCCAGTCCCAAGTCAGATTTCTTTCCTTTCTTCCTATTTGTGTTCTCCATCATGTTTAGGGTCTCAGCCTAGAAGAGCCACAAATGGCACTCCCCACACTTCTACAGAGTTGGCATCAGACAGAGCTGGAGTCAGTCTAGAACTTAGGACCCTGTATGGGCTTGGACAAACGCTTTGATCTCTCCAAGCTTCGCCCCTTCGTCTCGTCCTTCCACAGCTCTTCCAATGGCTACTTTGGCTGATTTGGGGAGAAATGATGTATGCAAAGTGCCCAATGTTTAGCGAGTACTAAATAAATGTCATTTGTTATTGTTGTTTGACTTACATTATTTCTATCTGCTGGCAATCCCACCCCCTGACCTCCCCTCACCATCACCCTTTTTTAGAAGGGCAGGAGGGCTTTGACCCATAGCCCAAATGGCTTTTTCTCTTGTTCAAGGTGATGTGGGTACCGCCCAGGAAAGAAGAGAAGAACATGTCCCATCCACTCGACCCTATGAGTCACATTATTTTGTTAAAAGGCAATTACAGCTGGATGAGACTGGAGACGCATTTAATCAAGCACCCTTCCTGCCTACAATGAACATGTAGAGATGTTTGTCAAAACCTGAAGACTTGAGGTGCTGTAGCTACCCCAGGCTAGTTCTCCTTCCAGATACCGCCGCATGTCTCTTTCCGACCACAGCTGCTGTCTCCAGAGCCCAGATCCTTGCAGATGTACTTTCTGGCTAGCTGAGCTGCAAAGCCCTGTCCTTACTGGCATTGGCTCAGTTCTCTGCAGAATTCAGGGCCCTGGGGGGGGGTGAAACTTGGCTGCAGCTCACAGACATAAGTCCACCTCCTCTTCCAGAACAGAGAGGAAGACCAGGCCTGGGAGGGTCTGGGCCAAAGGAATTCAGAAAGCCTTTCTCTTGGGTCAGCCCTTTCCCTGAGCCAGGGAGCCTCCTCCCCCTGCCGGCTTGCCTCTGGCCTCCCGGAGGAACTTCATTTTCTCAGCATCTCAGGCCACATTGGCTCAGCCCCATGTTAGGATCCTACAGTGTTAATAATAAACCACCAAACCGTGATCATTGTGGAAGAAAAGATAAAAATAAATGCAGCTTGATGCTTTAATCAAGTATATATAGACCAAATCTTAGTTCTGATCAACATCTATCAATAATTATTGATGTAGAATATCATCATCTACTGGCATTACATGAAGACATTTTATTAATGAGAGCTGGGCGGTGGTGGTGCATGCCTTTAATCCCAACACTTAGAAGGCAGAGCCAGGAGGATCTCTGTGAGTTCAAGGCCAGCCTGGTCTACAGAGCAAGGTCCAGGACAGGCACCAAAAAAAAAAAAAGACATTCTATTAAAAATTGTATTGGTGTAGGGTGTCAGTATGTAAATATGATCAATCTGTGGGGAGGAAGGCAGTGGTAAAAAGAGATAGTAATAAAACATGTTATAAAACATGCTCGATCAAGAGTGTGTGCTTATGTGTGAAGATGTGTAAGAGTACAGGTGTTTGTGTGCTTGTGTTGGGTGTGTTGTGTGAGCTGCGTGTGTGTCTGTGTGTCTGTGCATGCACGTGCACAAGTGTGTGTTTAGCCAGAGCTATAATTACAGGGTTACTAAAGATCTGAGGTATATAGTTAAGATTTTCTCAGCACTTTTATTGTTAATACTTAGTGAGATTCGTCATTTTATTTGTTCCTTTTCAATGCCAAAAATGGAAGACAGCTGTTCGTGCACTAACGTTCCCTTTTAAAAGATAGTTCTTTCTGTTTATCAGGCATATTTTGCCCCTGGGGAAATGTATTTTTAAATTGCATCGTCAAATGAAGTGAGTAGGAAAGATCCCTCTCGTCATTACTTCTGAATAATAAGGAAGATTTTACATGGGGAAACACTACTGAGGGCTGACAGGAACTATCTGGGAGAGTTCGTAATTACTCAGTCCCCTCTCCTCTGGCGGGGAAGAATTCCTCGGAGTGCTCAGTCCCTAAATTCATCCTAAAGCTGAGAACAGTGGGGGGACGTTCAGTGGTGTCCACAGCGGACAAGAAAAGCATGAGACTGGTGGGTTCCATCAGATGCAGCCGCCACCAGACAGGGAGCCGCCTCCTTTAGTGAGACAGCCTTGTCAATCAAATCCAAACCCAGGACTTGTTACCACCCTGGAGTTACTCATCTTCCACAATCAACTCCCCGAATTTGCCTCCACCAGTCTGTCCAATATTTACCATCGAACAGACCAGAAGGTTAGAAGCTTACTTACATTTTAAACAAAGGCCATATTTATCGCTTGTTCTTTGTTCCAACTTGTCCGGTTTCTCCAACAGAGGTAATATTTATCTCTCCTCTGTGGATTTTTGAAGACATCATCCTTTTTATTCCAGGGGCAGCTAGTCATTTTGTTCTCCAATTCAAACAATGACCTAATAGGAAATCTACCAGGTTGCTTTGTAGAAGAGGTGTTTTCTTAATCCCATAAAATAGCCCCAACTCCTAATAGAGTTATATTGTTGTTACTGAGGTAAAACTTAGAGGCATAAAACAATTGAACCACCACAAATCAACACACCAAACATGTCTGTGGTGTGCAGTTCTGAGAAACTCTCTGCCCAGCTGTCAGCGTCTGTGGCTTCCAAGCCAAGTCAGATTCCTCTCAAGAGTCCCCCAGACAATGATGTGAGGAAGCAAAGGCACAGTACAGCCTGGTCATGGATCCAGTGAGTATTCCTTTGGCCAGCCTGTGGGGAGCAGTGGCTCCATCCTTCTGCGTGCAGTTCCATGGCCTCTGAGCCGGGTCCTGCATCAACTATTCCTCTCATCTCCATCATTCTCCACAAGCCTTGTGCAGAAGGCTGACTTCTGAACACTGTAACCCGCAACACTATCAAAATGTTAGAAGACGTTCAGATGGGATCAGGACAATGGAGACATGTTGGGAGGAATGCTGAATTTGTTGGATTCCCTAAGGAAATCGTGATGGCCAGGGAACTTTGAGTCCTCCTGCCTTAAATGACGCCTGCATTTGGAAAACTAAGGAAGATCTGGGACCAGTGAAGGAGAGCCAAAGAAGATGAACCCTGCATCGGCTAAGGAAGAAGGGACAGAGCAGAGACTGAGAGAGAGACCTGGGCAGTGACGTACTCAGAGAAGTTCAGCCGAGTCTGGGCTCTCTCCTTGACATCCAGTGGGGTCCTGGGCAGCCAGGTCACTGCACCCCCTTTGACTTCCTTTGTTCAGTTTTGCACAATTCTAATTCTCCTGCCTGCCCCACTGAGCAGGAATCCAGAGTCCAGAGAGATAATGTGTATGAGAATAGGTTACTGACCTGACCACCCAAGGGAGCCTGGAGGAGGATTGCCGCACCACATGAGAGAAGGTAGGAGGAAGGGTGTGTAAGGATGACTGAAGAAGAACACCCAACACATTCCCCAGGCACTGGGGGGTCGGGGGCTCACTCACTGGCAAGGCCAACCATCCTCACCTCCTAAGTCTGAAAGTAGATGCTGTCCAACCACTCGGTAGAACATTACCTTTCCAGGTGTCTACTAGTTATTTTCTCCTTGAAATGTATTTGTTGTGTGGAGTTAAATTGATCTTAATAATTTATTCACTCTCAATGATTTATGATAGTTTCCACAAACTGTGTTCTAAAATACTAAAATAGCTTACTCTTGGTGACTATAAAGACTGTCACTGAATGTTAAAAAAAACAAACAAACAACAACAACAAAAAAAAAAAACCCATGTCATGTCCATACAAGGAAATGACTTAGGACACATGAAAATAAGTGTCTGTGGACATCAGATCATGTTCCATGAGTTTACGCAGGAAACAATTCTTTAGTCCCTAAGGTCATGCTTGTGTGGAATCATCTTGAAAATAATTGCCTTTTAGACATGATGAACAGGGACAGCCATTGTCTCTGCTTCCTCCTGCCCAGTACACCTTCTTGATTTTTTTTTCTGATGACAATACTCCCTGGACCACCTCCCACACTTGGTTGGGGAAGAGCACTCTCCCTTTTCCTCCTATGAATTCTGAGGTAACTGCCAATCAGAATAATTACGGTTCTAGTCTCCAGGGGCCAAACCCAGGGTGGGCTCTATCTTGGCGCTCATTCTCCATACCTCACTGACTGACCTGGTAGTGTAAATACCACCCAGACCAGTTAATGGGAGTGATTTATAGATGTGCACTCGGAGCGGAGCCCTCTCGTCTTCCGGAGGATGCGGAGAGGACTGGTGGAATCTTGGAGCTCTCTGAGGTCAAACTCGCCTCTTCTCACACGTGGAAGGCTCTCAGAGGGGGGAAAATGAAATCAAACTCGAAGGAGGAGAAGACAGGCAATAAGGGGGAAGAGGAGAGAGGAAGAGGAAGAATTCTGTGGTGGGGTGACAGAGCAGGAGAGGAGAAAGATGAGGTTAGAGAGAGAGGCAGAAAGATGGATAGAAAGAAGAGAAGGGATAATAAGTGAGGAGAGAGGGTATCTGAGACAGTTAAAGAGAAAAAAGAGGGGAGGAAGGAAAGGCAGAGGTGATTGACATGGTACAGGATTGGCAATATGAAAGGTCTCAGTACTGTGTTGACGTGCTGGGTAAACTCTGAAAGAGTAGTGAGAAGACACATTTGGTCACAGAGAAAATAGATTCCTGTCTAGATGGGAAGATACAAAGACTCACAGAATAATTTTAGGATCATTAACTTGTAAAATTTTGAATTCTGCAAAATAGGAGGAGCATTACTATTTTCCACTTCATATGGTTTAAGTAAGATTCCTCTGTCAAAAACTACGTCCTTGTGGTGGTCAGCCACCCAAGTGTCTTAGACGTGGAAGGTGTCAATGAATATCTATTAAGTTAATGTATGGAGACTCTCAGGTTACTTCCCCAAGGCTACAGCTAAGGCCCCATCACAAAGCAGGAAGGGACATTTGTCTTGGCCAGCCTCCTTCTAGACACTTTTATCCCTTTGTGGTACCCCAACCCCAACATTCTTTCCCAGTTCCTGTACAATAAAACTTGCTTCAAAGAACAATTTAACATCCCTGCTGGAGTTGTAAAGTCCCTGAGAACTTAATGGTCTGCTCTCTCTGGACCCTTCTGAAGGTCATTTAAGAGGAGACCAAGGAGGTTAGGCTTGAAAACCAGGAAAAGGAATGTTTAGTTCTTGACAGAACATCTCTGTGTGCACCCTCACAAGAAACTCTGGAAGGGCGGTACGGGAGGGCAGGGTCCCAGGGACACCCGTGCAAATGGGGCACTCCATGCTCCTCCCGCAGGGAGCCTGGGTTGCCAGGCTCAGAATCCCTGAAGTCCTGACTGCGCAGCCCTGAGAAATCAGTCTGTTTATGCCAGATTCAATTTGCTTACGTTTTCCCTTTTTCTTCCAGAAAAATAAAGATGGTTTTGACCATATCGTACCCGCTGAAATCACAGAATGTTTCCGAAGCTCTTGATGGGCAACCTGAAAAGAACAAACATTACTATTCCAAAACTTCAGGGAGTTTCTCAGAACCTATAAACAACATAGCTCCTATTAATAAGCTAACACCCATGAATATGAAGTCAGGTAAAATGGTCATCGCTGATCGGTTTGGGATGTGCTATAGAATTATAGAATTACAGACTGCTTCAGCCTGGACATACCGGTAAGGACAAGCACACCTTTCTTTAAGGATTTCTGGGTATTTTCTATCTCTAGACTAATGATGTCACACAGTGTCAGTCCTGAGCACTACCCTGACAAAGTAGCAGCAGTCACGGCCAAGCGTTGCCGCAATCAAAGGTTCAGTAAGCGATTAGCAATGTCTACCACGGGTGAAGAAAGTGAAAAATGATTGCACGCCTTTTTCTTTTCTGTTTGCCATGTGGCTTTCCTTCCCCACTTCTGGACAGCGAAAGTGCACTTTCCTCTGCAAAGGCGTGGTCTCCAGGAAGCCAGCCCTGTTCTTTGCCCTCACAGTAGAGCATTTAATCCAACCATTCTCTTGACAGGTTTACAGATGGGGCCAATGAGGCATGAGTGGGGAAATGCCACCACAAAGAGTCAATTGTTTTTTGTTTTTGTTTTTGTTTTTTTACCTTGGAGTTTCAGTTTGGAGGACTTTGTAGTTTCTAGTAATTGTCTAGCCACCATGGAAGAGGGATCCACTGGAAAATGGAGACAGCAAGACGGAGTCAAAACTCAACTGATCCCGTGAACTCCCTCAGTCACACACACCTAGCGACTCAAAATCGGGTACAGAGCAGAGTTTGTGTTACTTACAAGTGGTTGGGTTAGGTAGTCTATACTTTAGCCTGCACAATGCCAACCCATCCCACCATTAATGATTTTCCTCCCCCAGCTGTGAGCTCTAATAATTTCCAAAAATCAGTTTATCCCAAGGAAGACAATAAATAAACCTGGAGGGTGATTTGCTGATAGAATTCTAGGGGTCTTTTCCACAATCCTGAGGCCCCAAATGCCGGAGAACTTGCAAGCATGCCCCACTAACACACTTGGAGCTTCAAGGTCTGTCCTTGCCTCCATCCCACCCTCTCTGCCCTCTGCCCTGAAACCCAGTATCATCAATGACCACATTCCAGAGACTCTGCCAATCACTGTCAGGCCTGGTCAAGAGCCTGAGTTTCCAGATGAAGATGATATGTAATCTCTGACATCAGTGGCTAGGTAAGTAGCTCAGAACACCAACGTTAATCTGCGGGTTAGCATTCCAGCCGTCCAGTGCCAAGTTTAAGAAGAAATGAGCATGGACCAGATGATAAACCAAGGGTCCATTTATGGAGCTAGAAATTGGCTCAAGAGGTGCCTTTTTCTTTCCAATACCTTGTTTGAGCATAAACAGTCCTTAGGAAGAAGGGAAGGAAACTTCTGCTCTGCCTTTCAAAGGAGGAAGGTTTTTTTTCCTGGGCAGATTATATGAGCTTGTCTCACCAACTAATATATTAGTGAATAATGATATTATTCACGAAGGTATCAATATCAGAACACTCCCCACAATCGCCCAGTGAAGCAACTCAAAAGACCTCTTCTTTATGGAATGCCAGGGGCAAGCCACATCAGAGCTGGGAGCCGCGATCGCTCTTAGCTTCTCTCATTGACTCTCCAATACACAGCTCCAAGCCAGATCCTTTTCCGATGACCAAACGTGCAATAACGGCTGGGTACACTCCTCTTGGGGCATCCGCCGTCATGAAAGCACCCCAGGCCATAAACTGACGTCACTGCTCCTATCCGGGTCTAGCTTCCTCTCAGTGACTGTGCAAGCCATGCTGTCCCCCGGAGTTTCCCACTCCAGTCGCCGTCATCCCCCACCCCTCATCCTTGGTTCCCATCCCCCACTTGTGTGTGTCATGCCACAGGTACTCCGACCCCGTATTGTGTCACCTCTCTTTAGTGTTGTTGTCCTAGCCGGTGTCCGGCCACCCCCAGGCTCCAGGTCAGTCTCTAGAGTAACACTGAAATGTCTGGTCATAAGTCCTCTATTGGAAACGCTTTATTTATTTAAGAAGTGGTTTTTTTTATTATGTATACAGAAGAGGGTGCCAGATCTCATTTCAGATGGTTGTGAGACACCATGTGGGTGCTGGGAATTGAACTCAGGACCTCTGGAAGAACAGTCAGTGCTCTTAAACGCTGAGCCATCTCTCCAGGCCCTGGAAATGCTTTAATAGTCCCCTCCATGTCCTGAGACCAGGAGTGCTCACTCTGCTTTCCTTACTTCACCTCTGTTTGTCCCTCCAGCTTCGCATACCGCTCTGGACTCATTTGCATTATGATGTTCCCAGAGCGTGGCAGCTCTCCAGATGAAAAACGGCCCCTGTTGCCTTGGGGTTGTTCTGTATTTTACATAAGATTTTTCGTCACTGTCATCTACCTGTCTCCTTTCCCAGTTCTATTACCCCAAACTACAATTCAGCAAAAACTTCCCAGAAAAAAAAAAAATGCCCTTTATGAGAAATCAACCAATGAAAAGGCTCAGGAACTCTGGGGTAAACAGAAAACCAGGCAAATCAAAACTTTCAGAGAGATTTGGGCCACCCTCTTGCCCACAGACATTGTCCCAAGTATACTAATATACATTAGATGTCCCATAGCTTCACCAAGGGAAAGGAAGGAATTGGTTTGCACCCCATCTTCCCCTCTCCCATAAAAACTGCCTTCTATCTGGAGGCTTGGAGCTTTGGAGAACCTGACACAAGCTAGCCATCCTGGGAGAATGTAAGTGGCAGCTTGGACTGATAAACAACACTGATCCTACCAAAAGGTTGATCGGTGAGTTCTGGATCCCAGTTCTCCAGGTTTCCCTATAACAGCAGCTTGCATTTTGCCAGTCTGAAAGCTCTGACAGGCCCGGAGAAGACAGTGCCTTGGGTTGGAAGATACCGTTAGTGTCCCCAATCTCAGACTCAACACAGAAAATGAACAAAGGCCACAGCAGCCGGCTTTTCCCTGGGGAAGGAGGACAGAGGCGCTACAGTACTGAAAAATCTGTAGCACAGCTAGTCTAGGGGACCAGGGTCTGTTCCTGTACGAAGCCACCCCATGGAGGCTGTGGTCGCTGCCAGCTCTATCCAACACACAGGAAGTAACACAAAAGTAAGGAAGTAGAAGGAATGGGCAGAGATATTCCAAACAAAGGAAGGAGATAAATCACCAGAGATTGCCCTCAATAAAATGGAATCATGTGGTTTATCTGAAAGAGAATTAAAAATAACTCTAAAAAAAAGGTTGTCATGGAGGTCAGGTAAACATACAAGAGCAAAGTGAGAATCTCAAGAAAGGGAGAGAAAATACTAAAAAGTACAAAAGAAATAGAAGAAGGCACAGCTGAATGGAAAAGTCACAAGATGCGGATGGGACACGCAGGAGACACAACCAGTGAATGGACCACGAGTCAATACTGTGAACGTAATTCACTGAGAAGAGAAAAAGAGAATGAAAAAGCCTGATGAGACCTAAGGGAGCATTGGTGGACTAACCAGGGGTATTTGAAGAAAAGAGACAAGAGAGGAAAACCCAAAAGTTTACTCAAAGAAACAACAGCTGAAAGCTCCCTGCTTCTAGGGAAGAAAGCAGACATTCAGATCTAAGAAGCCCAAATGACACCAAGTAATATGAACACAAAAGAAAGACACATCATAAATGGTTACAAGACTGGGGTGGTTTGCATAATGGCCCCCAGAGGCTCATATATTTGAATGCATAGGGAGCAGCACTATCTGCAAGGATTATGACGTGTGTCCTTGTTGGGGTAGGTGTGGCCTTGCTGGGGGAAGTGTGTCACTGGGGGTGGGCTCTGAGGTTTCAAAAGCCCAAGCCAGGACTGGCGACTCTCTCTTCCTGCTGCCTGCAGGTCCAGATGTAGAATCTCAGCTACTTCCCCAGCACCATGTCTGCCTGTCTGCTGCCATGCTTCCCACCATGATAATGGACTAAACCTCTGTAAGCTAGCCCCAATTAAATGTTTTCTAAGAGTTGTCATGGTCAGCAGGTTTTATTGCCTCTTCACAGCAATAAAACAGCAACTAAGACAAGGACTAAAGTTATTTAACTGAAGACAGGCTCAGGTTTAACCTGAAGTTTTTGCCTCAGGCTGATTCCCAACAACAGAATAGTCCACAACAATTTAAAAAAAACAAAACAAAACAAAACAAAAAAACAAAACTCAAACTGGAGACCTGGGGGGAAGAAGAAGAAGAATCAGGTTTCCAGAGATAACCTACCCTGCAAGTCAGTGAGGCAAAAGCAACAAAGCCCTATGAGAATACAAGAGCTCAAAAAACTAAGTTTCCCCACGCAACTGTGGTAACTACAGCTACTATGTCCATAAGAAGCTACATGGAGTATGTGTGCGTGTGTGTGTGTGTGTGTGTGTGTGTGTGTGTGTGTGTGTGTGTGTGTGTGTATACAATGTCCAGTCTCGATAGTTTTATTTATCACCTTATTTGATTCTCACTACTGCTCTGAAGTTATGAAGAACCAAGACAGGCTAGGGGGAGTGGTTTTTGGTTTAGTTTTTGGTTTCTTTGAGATAGGGTCTCTCTATGTAGCCCTGGCTGTCCTGAAGCTCCTTATGTAGACCAGGCTGGACTCCAACTGACAGAGATCCACCTGCCTCTGCCTCCCCAGGGCTGGGATTAACTATGTGCACCACCACACTCCTTGGAGTAGTTTGTTGATGTTTACATGGGAATTGCCTAGCCTGTCTGCTAAAATCCACGACCTTCCAATTGGGAACAATTCTCTTTACTAGTTCTAATTTCCCAGAAGCTACAGTCAGTGCATCTCAGTCCATGCCCCACAGAACCCACATAATAAAAGAGAGATGATTTTTTTCTTAGAATTATAAATAGGAAGAGGAATCAACTTTGTAAGAAAGCCCCATCCATCTTTTTTTAAAGGAAAACACCACACACCTTGAAGACCCACTTTAATGATCTATTGAGCATCTCTGCCGTGGAATCAAACACAACTCGAAAAGAAAACAGTGCTCAAAAGAACTACAGGACCCTTCATGCTTGTAGGGCAATCCTATTTATAGCAGGCCTGACACAGGTGGAAAGACTGCCATAGTCCTTCCAACAACAGCCAGAACCTTCTGAATACCAACACTTTCCTCAGAGCCCTTCCTGGATTGGGGTGGGGGGAGGATTTGGGGTTATGTGATTTCTCACCATTATCCTTTTATTTCCCTCTTTTCAAATATCAATTAACTCCTCTGAATCACAGCTATATTCTAGCCAGCAAGCAATCATCCATCCCTATCTATTCACTTTAAAGTGTTCAGACAATAAGGAATACAGCTAAACTCTGAAGGCATATAAAAATCTTATTTTTTATTCTCCATACATGCTGATATTTATAGTCTTATACTAGTTATGTTAAATGATCTTCTAAATATTCTTGAAATTGACCTTTTTCCAGAAATAAGCTGACCAAGAACCAAAATTGAAATATAACTTTAGCTGGGCTTGGTGGCACACACCTTTAATCCCAGCACTCTGGAGACAGAGGCATTTGGATCTCTGTGAGTTTGAGACCAGTCTGGTCTACAAAGTGAGTCTCAGGCCATCAGAGGCTACATAGTGAGACCTTGTCTCAAACAAACAAAAAAAAGACATATAATTTTAAATATTATGTTAATCCC